GCGGTGCTGGCCAACAAGGTGCCCCCGCCCCCCTCCCCCTGCCCCGCGGGTAACGGGGCGCCTGCCGGACAGGGGCTGCCGGGCGGTGGTCCTGGGCGCTGAGCGGGGTCTCGTGGGCGCAGGCGCACTTGGTGGACCAGCACGCCAAGAAGGAGTTCAACGTGCTGCAGAAGGACTTCAGCGTGGCGGCCATCAGCGGGGACAGCAGCCACAAGTGCTTCTTCGCCTCCGTGGTGAAGCAGAGCGACGTCGTCATCTGCACGGCCCAGATCCTGCAGAACGCGCTGGTCAGCGGGGAGGAGGACACGCGCGTGGAGCTGACGGGTGAGCGCGGGACCCCCAGCGCTGGGCTCCCCGCAGCTGGGCTGGGGTGGGACAGCCCCAGCCGAGCCTCATCTGCTGGGGTGGCTCACCCCGCTCCCCTCCCTCGCCCGGCGCAGATTTCTCGCTGCTGGTGATAGACGAGTGCCACCACACGCACAAGGAAGCCGTCTACAACAAAATCATGCTGAATTACCTCCAGCGCAAGCTCAGCGGGCAGCAGGACCTGCCGCAGGTCCTGGGCCTGACGGCATCCCCCGGCACCGGGGGGGCAACCTCCTTCGAGGGGGCTGTAGAGCACATCCTGCAGGTGGGTCCCGCGCCCCCCGTCCTGCACCGAGACAGGGTGCGACGGCCGCAGGCACCGCTTCTCCTGGGGTGCAGCAGGGTGTCCCTCGGGGGGGGCGTTCACAACCCGACGTGCAGGCGCTGGGCAGCATGGGGGGAGACATCCCTGAACTTGCCGGGATGCCAGCGGCACCCTGGGCTGCCGGGGCTCAGGGCTGGACGTGGGGTCTCGCCCTCCCAGATCTGTGCCAACCTGGACACTGAGAAAATCACGTCGGCGCAGGAGGAGCTGCAGCACCTGCAGAGCCACGTCCCCCAGCCCAGGAAGCAGTACAACCTCTGCCAGGAGAGAGCGCGGGTGAGGGGTGGCCGGGGGCCGCGTCCCTCCAGCCGCTGAGCTCAGGCCGATCTGAGGAATCACCCGACCCAGAGCTTTGGTGCAGGGGGATCCCGCAACCGTCCGGGTCCTGCCATGCAAACGGCCCCTAGCCCCGGGCCAGGCGCTCTGGGCTGAGCCTCCAAGGCTGTCCGGAGCAATGTCCCCGATTCCTCGGGTCCTGAGCCCCTCTCTGCTCCCAGGACCCCTTTGGCGAGCGGCTGAAGAAGGTGATGGAGCGGATCCAGCAGCACATGGAGATGCCTGGCCTGCCACAGGACTTTGGCACGCAGATTTATGAGCAGCGCATCATGGAGCTGGAGAAGAGAGGTGAGGAGGCGGCAGTGCGGGTGCGGTGGGGCTGAGCTGGCAGCCGCCGGGCCAGGCTGTGACCGCGGTGTGTCCCGGCCCTCGCCAGCGGCAGAGACGTTTTGTCGCAAGATGCGGGTGTGCGCGCTGCACCTGCGCAAGTACAACGACGCTTTGCTGATTAACGACACGGTGCGGATGATTGACGCCTTCCAGTGCCTCCAGCAGTTCTACGCCACCGAGCGGGACGTCAAGGACCCCACCGAACGGTTCCTCACCACCACGTTTGAGGGTAACGGAGGGGCCTGGAGGGGGGTTGGTGCTGGCTGCAGTTGTGGGGGCGGGGAGCCCCCCTCACACCCCGCTCGCCTGTGCAGAGAACAGGACCAGCCTGCAGGCACTCGCCGGGGACCAGCGCTACGAGAACCCCAGGCTGGGCAAGCTGGAGGAGATCCTGCGGGAGCACTTCCAGCCCCTGGGCACTTCTCGTGGCATCGTCTTCACCAAGACCCGGCAGAGCGCCCACAGCCTGCTCAGCTGGCTGCAGGGCACGGCCACGCTCAGTGGGCAGCACATCAGGGCTGCCGTCCTCACCGGCGCCGGCTACAGCAACCAGACCAGGCACATGACGCCGGTGAGCAGAGGGTGGGGAGGAGCTGGACAGGGTCCCGGGAGGGATCCGGCCCTAACCCTCTCTGCGCACTTTGTGGGTGCTGCGGGTGCTGCCTGGGGCTCGGAGCCCTACGCAGCTGCTGAAGCATCAACCCCTCTCCCCCAGAATGAGCAGCAGGACGTGATCAAGCTGTTCCGCGAGGGAGCCCTCAACCTGCTCTTCTCCACCAGCGTGGCCGAGGAGGGCCTGGATATCCCTGAGTGCAACATCGTGGTCCGCTACGGGCTGATGACCAACGAGATCGCCATGATGCAGGTAGCTGCCCGGGCTCCCTCCGGCCGCTCTGTCCGGCCCCATGTGGGGGGCAGCCTGCTGGGACGCCCCAAAGCCACGGGGGTGGCACACGGGGGCGGCACACGGGGGCTCTCGCATCCCGTGCCTGCTGGCAGCTCCCTGGGGACGAGCCCGGCCCCTGGCAGAGCACCTCCTTGGCGAGGCGCAGCGGGGTGCGGAGGGTGGATCCATCCTCGCGGGGTGGCACGGGGACGCGGGGGTTCGGCCATGGCCCTCCTCTGCTGACCGCAGCGTTTGGCCCTTCGCTGCAGGCCCGGGGCCGTGCCCGTGCCGAGAACAGCGTCTACTCTGTCCTCGCCAAAGCCAACAGCAAAGAGGTCTCCCGTGAGCGGCTCAACGAGGACCTCGTGGAGCTCATGGAGAGGGCGATCAGAGCGGTGCAAGCCATGCCCGAGCAGGAGTACCGCCTCAAGGTGAGCGCTGGGCGCTGCCCTGAGCACCAGGAGGCCCAGGCAGCTCCTGCCCCTGTCTGCTGCTTGGGCACAGCCCTCCGCGCCCTGCTTTTGGCTGCCTGCTCTCCCCTTGGGGCAGCACCGGCTCCTGGGAGGGGGCAGCATCAGGTGCATGGGGCAGTGCGTGCCCATCCTGCCCTGCCCGTCCTGCCCTGCCCGTCCTGCCGTGCGCCTCGCGCTCTCTGGGATGGTACATCTCTTCGCGGCCGTGTGTCTTGCCGTGTCTGCCATTCATCCATGCCCATCGCCCTGCACTGACCCCCGTCCTCCCCGCCGTCCTGCCTCCCCCCTCCCCTGCCCTCTGCAGATCAGGGAGCTGCAGCGAGTTGCCGTTGCCAGCTGGCTAATGAAGGAGGCCAGGATCAGCGAGAGGCGGCGGCTGCACGACCCGGACGCTGTTTACCTCTACTGCGTCAACTGCAACAAGGCGGTGTGCCGCGGCAGCGACATCCGCACCGTGGAGGGCATGCACCATGTCAACATCAACCCCAACTTCGGGTAGGAGCCGGGCGCTGGCGGGGCAAGCGGGCAGAGCCCGGCTGTCAGGCGTCACTTGCAGGAGCTGCCACGCTCTCCACCCAGGACGGGCAGGGGGTGGCAGCAGCCTGCTGCCAGCTCGCTCTTGGGGACATCGGTCCAGGGAGGTGGTGGGGGCTTTGTAGGACTGGGCAGCTAGGGTAGCACACCCCGATTCTGTCCCCTAGACCATTGTCCTTAAAGTGTCTTTCGACCCCTTCCTTGCAGGTTGTATTACAGAGTTTCCTCTGGGAAAATGCAATTCCAGCGGGCTTTCAAGGACTGGGAGCCCGGCTGCCGCATCGTGTGCAGCGAGTGCAGCCAGGTGAGCGCGGCAAGCCCCCGTGGCTGCAGCCCAGTCGGCGCGGGCCGGGCAGGGGCCGGGCCTTGTGCCCAGCTCCTGGCTGAGGAATGGAGCTCTGTCTGGCTGATCTGCCGGGGGGTTAGGTCGGGCGTTAGGAGAAGGTTCCTCACCCGAAGGGTGGTGGAGCACTGGAACAAGCTCCCCCGGGAGGCAGTCATGGTGCCAAGCCTGACAACATTCAAGAAGCATTTGGACAACGCCCTCAGACACATGGTGTGATTTTTGGGGTTGTCCTGTGCAGGGACAGGAGTTGGACTCGATGGTCCTTGTGGGTCCCTTCCAACTCAAGATATTCTACGATTCTGTGATTCTGTCTCCCCTCGGCACGTGCCCGCGTGGTGCGTGCGCTGCGCATGCGGGACGCGGACGTGGGCAGCTGTCTGCCAAGGGGGACGTACCCCGGGAGCAAGGAGCTGCCTGCATCCCGGGTGCGGGGGGGTGCTGCGCCACAGGCTGTGACTGTCCCCTCCCTGCCCACGCAGGACTGGGGAATGGAGATGATCTACCGGCAGGTGAAGCTGCCCATCCTCTGCATCAAAAGCTTCGTGGTGGAGACGCCGGCTGAGAAGAGGAGGTACAAGAAGTGGAGTGCGGTGACGTTCCCCGTCAAGGAGTTTGACTACCTGGAGTACTGCTCCAGCACCCACGGCCTGTCCTTCTAGCGCGGGCTCTGCTCAGAAGAGGACTGTTCCCAGGCCACCTCCCGGGACAGCGGGACCCTTCCCCTCGCCCTCGGCATGGGACCCTCCCTCCAGGCCCGTGCAGACAGAGACCTATGGCTTGCTCCTCTTTTCCGCGCTGGACTGAGCCGCCGCAGCACATCCCTTGCTAGAGCCCGCGGCTGCAGGAGGAGGCTTTGCTGCGCCCACCAGAAAGGAGGAGAGGCTGGGATGGGAGAGCACCAGAACCCTTCCCTGCCCGCTGGCAGCTGCTCCCCGTGCCGCTGCCTTCCCTTCCTGCCCCGAGCGCTGCTGGGCTTGGGGGGCTGCCTCCACGGCCAGGACGCTGCCCTGCCCTGCCAGGAGACCCAGCCATTTCACATCGGCCCAGGACCACGGCCCAGCGTTTCTCTGGCAGCTTCTGGTCTGCTCTGTGAGTTTGGTGGTCCTCCATTAAAAACCTGTGTGTGTGCTGGGAATGAAGGAAGCATTGGTGGTTTCATTCATCACGAGAGCTCGCTGCGCGCAGGCAGGTTCGGTGTGGGACAGCCCTCGCACCGGAGGGCACCCCATCGCCTGCTGGAGAGCCAGATCCCACCGCGCTGGCAGCGCAGGGGTCCCCAGGGAGGCACCCGCGAGTGCCCGGAGCGAGTTGCATGTGGGGGGCTGCCCCAGTCCTACCCCTCCCCACAGACACCGGCCTGAGCAACCCACCTCGCCCACCCGCCCGAGACCAAACCTCCCGGTGGCCCCGAACGAGCCTCGGCCCCTCGGGGGCAGCTCAGCCCTGCGGGAAGGCAGCCCGGAGCTCGGGTGGACTTGACTTTCTGGCAGAAATGCAAGGGCTGCTGAGGCTGAGCGGGGCACCCAGCACGGTGCGGCCGGGGGTCCCTGCCCGGGCTCGGGGAGGGGGCTGCGTGCCCCTGCCCCAGCAGCTCCGGGCGAGCCCG